CTTTGGGTTCGATTCCTCAGTACCACATAAGCAGGAAAAAACAGAAGTGGCACTGTGACTCAAAAAAAAAAAAAAGGCTGGGAAGGTGGCTCAGTGTCAGAGTACTTGCCTCATATGCATGAGGCCCTGGGTTCAATTCCTCAACACCACATAAACAGAAAAAGCTTGGAGTGGCACTGTGGCTCAAGTGGTAGAACGCTGACCTTGAGCTAAAAAGCTGAGGGACAGTGCCCAGGCCCAGATTTCAAGCCCCACGACTGACCAAAAATAAATAAATGAATGAATGAATATAGGAGCACTGGGCACCAATGGCTCATACCTGTAATCCTATCTACTCAGGAGATTAAGATCTGAGGATCACAGACAGAAAATTCCTTGAGACTTATCTTCCAAGAGAAAAATGTAGTAGAGCCATGGCTCAAAGTGGTAGAGTACTAACCTTGAGCAAAAGAGCTCAGGGTCAGCACCCAGGCCATGAGTTCAAGCTCCACAACTAACAAAAAAAAAAGGAATGTATTTATTTTATTTTAGTGCAAGTACTAGAACTTGGACTCAGAGCTTGGCTGCTATCCCCTAGCTTTTCCACTCAAGGATGGCACTCTACCACTTGTGCCACAGCTCTAGTTCAGGCTTTTTGATAGTTAATTGGGGATAAGAGTCTCACAGACCTTCCTTCCCAGAGCTGACTTTGAACTGCCATCCTCAGATCTCAGCCTCCTGAGTAGCTAGGATTATGGGAGTAAGCTACCAGTGCCCAGTTAGGAACATTTTTTCTATTTCCTTTTTCTACATTTTTATTTTTAAAAGAAAAAAATTAATTTTAAAGAATAAAAGAAGCTGGGGCTGAGAATGTGCCTCAGTGGTAGAGTGCTTGCCTGAAACTTTGGGTTCGATTCCTCAGTACCACATAAGCAGGAAAAAACAGAAGTGGCACTGTGACTCAAGTGGTAGAATGCTAGCTTTGAGCAAAAGAAGCTCAGGGACAGTGTGCAATCCTTGAGTTCAAGCTCAGGACTGGCAAAGAAGGAGGAGGAAGAGGAAGAGGAAGAGGAAGAAGGAGGAGAAGAAGGAGGGGAAGGTGGAAGAGGAAGAGGAAGAGGAGGAAGAAGAGGAGGAGGAGAAGGAGGAGGAGGAGGAGGAGGAGGAGGAGGAGGAAGAAGAAGAAGAAGAAGAAAAAGCAGCAGCAGCAGCAGTTGGATGCTAGTGGCTCACACCTGTAATCCTAGCTACTCAGGAGGCTGAGATCTGAGGATCACCCAGGCAGGAACGTCTGTGAGCCTCTTATCTCCAATTAAGCACCACTGCATGTCAGTGGCCACACAGTGCTAGCCTTGAGCAAAAAAAGCTCAGGGACAGCACCCAGTCCCTGAGTTCAAGCCCTCAGAACCAGTACACTATAAATAAATATTCCTGTTGGAGGCTCTAAATCAGCAGCTCTGGGCCAGCGGTGTAGTGTTAAGCTGTGTGGTGTCCCACCATCAAGCTGAAGTCTTTGAGAAATCTTCTGGCACCATCTTCTGGCCATCTTCAGAAACAACCCCTTAATTTGGTTTGCAAAAGAGCCCTGAAGAAAACCACCCGGGTCACATTCAGAATAAAGTTTGCAAATTTACAGGCAAAGTTCACCCCATTCTCACCTCCTGTAGTCACTTTTCATTTTGCCCTGCTTAGAGCTAATCTTAGTAACTCTTCTCTTAGAAGGTTTAGGGATGGTCACTTCACAGACACGTAAAACCCAGATTAAAGCCACTTCAAACCCTCCATCTCCACACTCTAACACAGGCATGCATGCAAGCATTCACTCAGTCCTGGCTCCATTCATCTCCACCCATCTCTACTTCCTGGGTTCCCACAAATCAGTATCTTGTTGGCTTTGGGACGAACTCAAGCATTCTTGAGGGGAATGGGAAAGTCCTCCCATTTGTCCCTTCTCACAGAGGCGGCCTGGAAGAGACCCTAGGGACAGCACAGCAACACTAGCTTAAACCCCAGCTGCTGTCCATATTGAAAGTGCCTTTCTAATCCCAGTTCTCAAGGCTCCTCTCCAGTCCTTCTGAACTCCAAGATCTTCACGTGGCTTTTTTTTTTTTTTTTAAATCAGTGGAGAATGGGAAAGCACATCCTTCCCAGGATGAAGGAGTGGCCCAGGAGCCCTGATTGGTCTGCCCAGGGAGGGAAGGGCTGCCATATTTGGAGGACAGCAGGGAGGCCCCCTCCCCCCAACAGATCCTATATAGCCTGGTGGGTCTGACTGGGGGAGGTGTGCTAGAGGACCGCGGGATCTCTTGGCTCCTGGCTCCAGAGACAGGCTCCCAGCACAGAGCCCAGGTATGTGGAAAGGCATTTCTACAGTTAGGGTTGCTTGATTCTAATCAAGTGTCTGCCCCAGACTGAAAATCATGTAGTCACTCCTTTACTTCCAGCCCTTTCCTCACCTTCTCAGGATGGATCCCCAGCCAGGGGGGACAACTTGTAAGAATGTGCGTTTATTATTGACCTTGCATTTCTTTTTCTTTTTTCTGGTGCTGAGGCTTGAACTCTGGGCCTGAGCAGCAGCTTCTTCTTCTTCTCCTCCTTCTCCTTTTTCTTCTTCTTCTTTCTTTTTTGCCGGTAGTGTTGCCTGAACTCCGGGTCTGGGTGCTGTCTCTTAGCTCTTCAGCTCAAGGCTAGTGCTCTACCACTTGAGCCACAGTGCCACTTCCGGCTTTTTCTGCTTATGTGATGTTGAGGAATTGAACCCAGGGCTTCATGCATGCAAGGCAAGCACTCCACCACTGAGCCACCTTCCCAGCCTCCTGGGTTTCTTTTAACTCAAGGCGAGCACTTTATAACTGGAGTCACAGTGCCACTTCTGGCTTTTCCAAGTATTTTATTGGAGATAAGAGTCTCATGGAGTTTTCTGCCCAGGCTGGCTTCAAACCATGATGATCCTCAGAGCTCAGCCTCCTGAGTAGGTAGGATTACAGGCGTGAGCCACCTGTGCCCAGCTGACCTGGCATTTCTAATGCTATGATCAAATGCCACTTATAGTGGTTGTGATTTTTATGCTGCTTTCAAGTCCTTGGTTACAAAAATCAAGAATTCTATGCTTTGATTTTTAAAATAAATTTAACTCATCCATAAGGATCTATTATTCTTATATAAGATTCTTATAAGGTCTGAGCTGGTGACATGGGATGTAACCCTTGGTTACATAGGAATAATGAATGCTTGTGTAATGCTTGGGTCTCTGGAGAAAGCTGGTTCTGAGTTCACTATGATTAGGGGCAAAAGAGGTGGTCGTAGAGGCTGGCTGCTCTGCCCACCTGGGGACAGAGATAACACGATGTCTACTACCAGAACAGGACAGGAAAGCCTCTGGGTTCCTTCCAGAGATGACCATGTGCTCTCAGACTAGACTTGGCTGTTTTGTTTTTAAGCATAAGAACCAATGTGTTATCAGAGCTGCACATTTAAATAGGAACATGGAGCCCTTGGGGGATGGGGCAGGGGTGGCAAGAGGGCATGTTAGGAACTGAGCACGCTGTCGCTCAGCCTCATCCAGGTCTGGCACTTCCTGAGATCACAGTACATCTTCATCTCAAAGACAGCTCCAGCTATAGGAACTTCTTGTGACCTTGAACCCCACAAACAGAAGTCTAGGTGCAAAAATACTCTGATGACTGGCCGGCCATGGAGGTGGATGTCCATAATGGCTATTGTCATTTCAGAAGCCAGGTGGGACAGGCGGCCAGAACTGAGATGGGGGAAGAGGGGGGGATTCCCTCCATGATGTCAGTAGTAGCCCTACACATACCCCGAGGCGTCTTTGTTTCAGGAATCCCCTGGCATCTCCAAGCTCTGCTAACCTCTGCTTTCTCTTATTATTCCCCTTGAAAACTTTCAAAACCCTGCTCTTGGCCTGGCCTGGGGGCATTATGCCCCAACAACACAGAATGTGAGCATCATCCCATGCAGAGACTCTGCTGGGCAGGAGGCAATGCTGATAGCTAGGAAGTCAGCATCAGGCTGAGCTGAGTTCAAATCTACCATCTCCTGCTGTGCAGCCTTGGGAAAGTCTCTGTATCTCAGGCATATTATAACCTATGAACAATAATGTACCTGATTTATGAGATTGAAGTTGGGAGATGTCCCAAGACTTAAAACAGTAGCTGGCATATAGTAAGCATACAATAAAAAAGTAGGAGGAGCAGGGGAAGAAGCCCTCCCCTAGGGGTGAGAGTCTGCAATTCCTACTTCCACTGTGAAGTCAACATAAAATGGGGCTCAGCTCTGCTGGGATTCCCCCAGTTATGCTGGAATATCTTAGTTGTTTCCCTCCCTCTTTCTTCCTCCATTCCCCCTCCCCATCCCCCTCACCCCGCCTTTCTTAGTACTGTCAAGCCTTGAGAAGCATCAGCCAGTTTCTTACAATGGATGGCAAGGTGTGGCTGAGGTATGGCAGCTTAGAGAATAAAGTAGGGAGATGAAGGTATGGGTCAAGTGATAAAGAGCCAGCCTTGAGCAGGAGTGTAAGGCCCTGAGTTCAAACACCAGTACTGGTACATGTACACACACACACACACACACACACACACGCACACACACACAATAAAAGAGGACTAAAGGTACAAAATAGTGTTTGATTCCCCCTTGACTTGCAAATCTCAGAAAATACCTGTGTGCTTCAAAGCCTGACTCCTTTATTCAAGGATACTAGGTCTATGCAAATACGTTGTGCCTAGTCAAAGATAGCATGCATATTAAAAAAACTTCATAATTGTTAGTTGCAGCCTATCAGCCTGAGAAAGATGAGTTCTGCAGAGAAGGGGATTTGGTGTCTGGGGTCCAGCCCACATCCCCCCCCACCCTCCCCTACTTCCCAGCATCCGTGGGAATGGCATTGTGCTTGGGGGGAACTGTAGAAGGCCCTCGGCTTAGAATGCTGCTACACTTCTTGGAGGCCCCTTGGGGAAATTTGACAGCCGGGGTCCATCTTGGCTCTTGCAGATTGTGTCATAATGAAGAAGCATCTGGGTGCCTGGTGGCTGGCCATTGTCTGCGTCCTGCTCTTTAGCCACCTCTCCCTGGCCAAGGCGCGGGGCGTGAAGCACAGGTTCAAGTGGAACCGCAAACCTCTGCCCAGCCCGGTGCACATCACCGAAGCCCGCATCGCTGAGAACCGCCCGGGGACCTTCATCAAACAAGGCCGCAAGCTCGACATCGACTTCGGAGCCGAGGCCAACAGGTACTACGAGGCCAACTACTGGCAGTTCCCCGACGGCATCCACTACGAGGGCTGCTCCGACGCCAACGTCACCAAGGAGGTGTTCGTGGCCCGGTGCATCAACGTCACGCAGGCGGCCAACCAGGCCGAGTTCGCCCGGGAGATGCAGGACAAGTTCTACCAGCGGGTGCTGTGGCGGCTGACCAAGGAGCTCTGCGCCGTCAAGCAGTGTGATTTCTGGCTGGAGAGGGGCGAGGGCTGCCCGGTGGCCATCGTGAACCGGCCCGCCATGCTCGGCCTGCTGCTTTGCATGTGGTTCATCCTGACCTAAAACTTGCAAATGTGGAGAGAGGCACCCCAATGTCTCTCCCCCTCTTCCTCTCCCCCCGACCCTGATGGCCCCACACACCTGCAGTCCTGATTGTCCCAAACAGCAAAGAACCCATTAGGAACTGTGCCAAGCACTTCACTCTTCTTCCTAATTCCTCCAGATGGGGGTTAGTCCCATTTTACAGATGGGGACACTGAGGCTCAGGGAGCTGCAGTTGCTCCCCAGAGTCCCACAGCCAGTAAGTGGCAGAGCTAGGAGTCACCACGGGATTTCAACGCCACTCCCCACTCCCCACCCCCACCCCAGTGTGTCCCAGCTCCCCGTAGGGCTCCCCATGGAACCTAGCTAGCCACATGGATCACTCCTGAAATCATGGGCGGTCCACTCCCAGAAATAGATACAAAGAACAGAGCCAACAGCTGGGTTCTTTGATACCTTGTCAGGTGGAAGTTTACTTTAATCCTTATCATTCAAGTAAAGCATAAGGGAGGAAGGAAATTAAAGTCGAAATAAAGTTAGAGGCCCAGAGTCAGCTTGTGAGGAAGTGGGAAGCTAATGTCCAGAGACCAGATTTACAGCAAGATACGTCGAGGGTGCCAAGATTCTTTTTTACAAGAAAGTTAAGTGTTCACTCTTCCTGTCCCTGCAATTGTCTTTAATAATGCATTTACGAGGGGGGAAAATCATAGTGTGTCTTCAAATAGCCTGATTTCTATTAATAGTCTACAAGTCTGTATCTTTAAGAAAAACATGTCTGCTTCTAGCATATTCTCCTAGCCCCGTGTGCCTGCGTCTGACTGCAAGTCTCTACAGTGCCTTCATGACCTCATGGGTCCTTGATTCCACTTTGGCAAGAAATTTCATCTCTGTAAACCCCTCTGTGACAAAATGTAATGACTCCTCAACACGGCTAAAAAGAAAGAAAACCCAGCCGAGAACACTCATGTCTTAAGCAAAAGCTCATATACCACCTTACAAGTGAAATCTGTATTAAAAATATGAATATTGTTTAAATAAACAAATAGAATGAACCCAATGTTGTAAGATGTTCTCACAGGATTGCTGGATCTTTCGAAACCCCCAGGAGTTGGTGAAATCCTTTCCCCACCCTCCCTCTCTCTCTCTCCCCTCTCTTTCTCTTTCTGTCTCTCTCTTCTCTCCTCTTCTAATCGTTTTTACTTTCACAGACCCTGTTCTCCATTTTCCTTCCTTCCTCCCTCTGGCTCCCTTTTTAACTCAAGATACTCCAGCCTCAACCTTCTCGGTGGTGAGATTACAGGTGTGAACCACAACACAGGCTATCTATTCTCTTCTGAAGAGCATCTATGTATATGGGGACAATGTACAATGTATCTGCATTGTCCTACAGTCTATTTCAAATAGCTTAGCGCATGAATGTTGATAAGAAGCACCTCTTGTGCTGAGGTCCCACACTCTCAGTCCTCAAGGTTACCAAGGAAAGCCAGCAGGGAAGGACTTGGGGCTGGGAGGTTGGGCCTGGGCAGGGTGGGCAGAGGATCAGGTCTAGTGGCTCCTGCTGGCCTGCTGACAGAGTTATGCAGTGCTGCTGCACAGCCTAGAAATTCTAAGTTGGAGAGCAAGATAAAAGCACAGAGCTCGCATAGATGAGTTCTTGCATGCCATTGGGAGGAAAAATAGTAACAATGATAATAAAGAACAAAAAGACTCAGAGGGTGATGTTAACCTTCAGTCCTGACTCTACTTTTTATCAGGAGGGCCCACATGGCCGCATAAGCAGAGTGGCTTCATATCTGCAGTGAAAGCAACCTCTCAGGTCCCAGGGCTCGGCTCTCCAGAGTTGCTTTAGCCTCTTACTCCCCCAGTCGCCCCTCAAACTTGGTGTAGATGGACAAGGAGCCAACTACCCAGTAATTGGGATGCATAATTTGTTTATGGAGCTTTTTGTTTTTGTTTTTGTGCCCAGCCTGGGGCCAGTAGCTGTCCCTTAGTTTTTTCTGCTCAAAGTAGGAGCCCTACCACTTGATCTATATACCTCTACTTCTGGCTGTTTTAGTGGTTGATTGTCAGTAAGAGTTTCAAGGACTTTCCTGGCTTGACTGGCTTAGAACTATGATTCTCAGACTCAACCTCCTGTCGCTAGGATTATAGGTGTGAGAACTGGCACTGGCTGTTGATGGAGTTTTTAACTGAACCTCTGTGCACTTGAACACCCTGATTTGTGTTTAGAAATCATGAGGTAAACTTTCTTGAAACTGGATTTTTCACTTTAGCCAACAGCTATCAGATGCCTTACATGTTAAGACATTATGTGATACCGCTGAAATATTTTTGATAATCAAAACTTTACAGCATGAATAATTTCACCAAGCCTTGCTTTCTCCCCCCCCCTCCCCCGCACTGCCCTGCTTCGAAGGCTGGCTTGTTAAATATGACTGTTAGAAAAGTGACATCAAGATTGATACATAAATCAAGCCCCCCAAATAATCACAACACCAATATCCAATTATGTCAATGATTTTATCTCCCATGCCTTAAGTTGAAAATGCAACTGTGCACATTTGCTATTGTAATATAGGTGAGCTTTTATATTTAAACTTTTACTTTATTGAATTATTTTTGTCCATTTCCTCTCATTTTTCTTATTTCTTCATCCAACCCCTTTTTTGCTACCTGAAGCTATAGCTTCTACCCCTTTATTGTGTTCAGATATAAAAGCAACGATTTTTTTTCACTTCAGTATACCATATTGAAATATATAAATAATACATAACCCCTTTCCATTTAATTTTTTAATTTACCATTACACCTTAAACTCTCTGGGTCAATAGGAAACTAACATATCCTTTTACATCGCTGTGTAATATTCTGTAGTACAAATGCATTGGGGTTGATTCCGTCAATTCTTTGTGAGTGGATCTTCAAATTGTTCAGTTTTCTGCCACTGCAAACAATACACATCCTCATATCTCCAACCTCTCAGACTGTCACTTTAATTTCTACAGAGTAGATTTGCATGTGCAAGATTTCTGGGACCAAGTAAGTGTGTAATTCAGACTTCAGTAGTTATGACCCAGTTCTGTTCCCTTCTAGCTGGAGCAACTCCCATTCTTACCAGCACTTGGGAATAAAATTCTAACCATCCAACCCTAAAGTAGCATTTCACTGAAGTATCAAAGTATCACTGAGAATGCTATCAACCTCACAGAATTTATGTCATTTAAACGTGAGAAGCAACCTTTATCACAAACACTGCATGTGAATGTCCTCTCCTTTGCAGAAGACACACCTAAAACCTCCTGAGTGTAAGCTGAGCCTGGGAACCAGCTGAGTATCTTAAAATAGTAAGTGATTCTCATTTTAAACCTGGTCCCTGGGCTGGGAATGTGGCTTAGCGGTAGAGTGCTTGTCTAGCATGCATGAAGCTGGATTCGATTCCTCAGTACCACATCAACAGAAAAAGCTGGAAGTGGTGCTGTGGTTCAAGTGATAGAGTGCTATCCTTGAGCAAAAAGAAGCTCAGGGACAGTGCCCAGGCCCTGAGTTCAAGCCCAGGGCTGGCAAAAATAAATAAATAAATGAACCTGGTCCTTGGCCCAAAACATCTGGAAGAGGAATGTGGAACGTGGCTGTATTCTCTTCCTGCCTAGTGGCCACAAGAGGGGGACACCTGGCTCCTCTCTTCTCCCCTTGCTCTCCTGGCTGGCCGAAGACCCATTCCAGTTGGGCACCAAGCTCTCCTGCTGGAAAGCAAAGGCATTGGCCTTCTGCACTCCAGGAACGCAGGCCTGTATAGGTGGAAGAGTGGGGCATGTGGTATGCCTCTGAGACATCTCTAAGGCCATTCTAGACTATCCAAAGCCTGTCCCCCCAGAAAACACACACAGCCATTCCCTTGGTGAATGGCAGCCTCCCCCTGGCTTGGACCTCACTTCTGAGTAAGAACCAACACTGACAAGCATTGAAATGCACCTTGTCTCAGCCTTCCTCCATCTCCCTCACTTTTTTTTTTTTGGTCAGTTGTGGGTCTTGAACTCTGGGCCTAGGCGCTGCCCTTGAGCTCTTCAGCGTAAGGCGAGCGCTCTGCCACTTGAGCCACAGCACCACTTCCGGTTTTCTAGTGGTTAGAGGTAAGAGTCTCACAGATGTTCCTGCCCAGGCTGGCTTTAAACCACAATCCTCAGATCTCAGTCTCCTGAGTAGCTAAGATTACAGGCATGAGCCACTGGTACCCAGCTTCACTCATTTTTTTTTAATAAACAGTTTTTATGATCACCCCATCTAATGAGACGCTCCTGGTCAAGACACCTCTGATTTCCCCAAATAGCTCACCCTCCAATACATGAGTTCCTTTCCTCCTCCCCTCCTTCCCCTTCCCCTCATCCTCCCACCCTGCCTGCCTGGGGATTCCCAGATCTTCTTAAGGCTAACCCTTTTATGGAAAGTCTTGCCTTCCTTAAACAATATAGATTGTTTCGACTCCAGCAGACTAGGTCATGTGGAAGGAAATTGATGGGAAGCCACAGAGGAGCTAGAGGAAGTGGGAAACAGGCAAGTCAGGGTTGGAAGGACTAACACAGCTGGCCTCTCAGGAGGGAGGGAGATGGCAGGGCTGGGTGAGGGTGAGGGGCAGAGGAAAGAAGGCCAGGGCTGACTGGGGTAGAATTGCCTGCTGGACTCATGGGAGATCATCAGGCTGCCTCTCTCCCTGTTCCCCACCACTCCCCCCAGCCCCCAGGAGACTAGTTCAGCACCAAGGAGAGGGGTTTTCAAGGCTTGAGGGGAGAATAGGGTCTTTCTGTAGTGCTTCCAAATCTGTAATTAAATTTGCTAATGTGTTTCAGCTGGTTGAGTTTTGTTTTGTTTTGTTGTTTGGGTGTGGAGTTTTTTTTGTTTCAGTTTTTGTGTTTGAGGTAGAATTTCACTATGTAGCTCAGGCTGGCCTTGAACTGGAGATTCTCCCAAGTGTTGGGACTTTAGGCTTGTACCATCATGCTCAGTTTAACTGGCTGTTTTGACAC